TAGCAGAGGATTTGGGGACTCGGAGTTGGTCAGTCTTTCGTGAGTCTGTGACCATTTGGCGCCGCAAATCAGCAGCTTTTGCTCTTGCCACCGACGATCCCTCCTTCGAACCCTTCTGGGACCGTGTAAAGACAGTCCGATTCGCGAAGAAGCCGTTGAAAGAAGGACTTTGGCGTAGCGGCGGTTTCGTTTAAAGAGGCGAGTGGAATGACTTAATGTTGGTTGCCTCTTCAGGACAGCTCAACGCTGTCTTGCAACAACATCAAGTCTAAACTCTTTGGCGGATCTTTTCAGGAGAAGCGTCTTCGCATCAACTGCCCAACCGCCTCGTCTGCGACGTTGTGGGTCACTTCCTCAATGGTCTCGTCCTTCATCCAAATCCATTTGGTAGACTTTGCCTGGCGTGTGTCTACGCCTCAAATTCGGCACCGCCGGGTCGCCGTAGCAACCGCGGCGAGTGAAATTGCGAACTAGGCCTCGTGTCTCGACTCGAGAAGATTCGAGTACTGTCGACAGAAAACCATCGAAGTATCTCCCTAGATACGATTTATATGAGGTTTAGTTGCATATTAAATGATAGTCTTTACAACAAAAAACCATGCCCCAATCAGCCTATCAGATTCACGAGAAAAAAATTAATAATTAATTGCTAAAAAGCAATGAAAGAAAACTATATGCTCACTCACAGTAAAAGACATTTTTAAACTAAACCAAATTATTTTTCGAATTAAGTATTGTTCTTCATCGCACACCTTAACTCGATACGGAAGTGAGCTCAACAATTCTAAACCAATAGATGACTCGAAACCTGACTCTTATCCCCATTTCCTTTTGCCCATTATTACTTTGTTGTTGTTTCATTTCAAGCAATTAATCATCCAATCTCTTCTTGGCATGCAGTCAAATTGCAAGATATTCCTCCATATATGTGAACTCCAGTTTTCGTGATTACCAGTAAATAATTAGTATGAGATGTATTCACGCAATTTCGTTTAAGGTGATGAAGGACTAGTAGAAGAAGAATTTTCCCACAACGATATGAGTGATATGAATTTCACATAGCCTTGCTTTCCCAAAAGTTGTTCTCATCCCGGCTGGAGTGGAC